AGCAGGAGAAGCTGGACTGTCCTTGACTGCTCAGCAACAACCCAAAACATCAGCACGTTATCAACAGTTTCTCATCCCAAATCCAAACATAGACTCAGGCTAGCTTCTGTGAAGAAAACCAGCTCTATCCTGGCTGAAACCAGGACACTATCAATAAAAAGCAAGGGGAAAAAATGATAGAAACAAAAAGAGGAGATTGAAGGTGCAAGACAGTCAAAAGGTGACAGTTGGTGGAAGGACTGAGTGAATTTTCTGTAGAGGGAGTTGCAGAAATCAGAGCTGATAGCTGAGCTTTAGTGACCTGAGTTTCCAAGGTGGCTAATATAGACCTGAGGTCTACTGAGATTCTCTTATTCTTCCAGCCACAGCTGGCCATGCGGTCCTGTTCAGTCCTGGCACTGGGAGTGGTTGTCATGTGGTTATTGATGAACTACTTGAGTTAGCTGATCTGGCCAAGAGCTTACATGGTTGAGCAAATGACAGATTTTGCAAGGGAGCTGGGAGGATGGCACCCTGCAGCCGGACATGAATCACCACCTGCCTTGGTGGAAACACACCCTGAGGCTGCGGATTTAGATACCTATCACTGTGTGGAAGCTGTTTGGTCCCTCCACTACTCGGGATTTGTCTCTAGAAGTGTCTAGCAAAGCCTGTGACACACCGAGTGAAAAGAGATGCAGCATTGTCTTGAGGAGTTGAAAGAGCATCTAGCCTTTGGTGGGCTCATCCTTCAGGTTGTCCCTGAGTTGTGGAGATGTTAACAGCACCACAGTAGCCACGCAGCCTTATGTACACTGGAGGGATCTAGTGAGATGTGGCTTTTTGTTTCCTCATGCAAAGTGATGTTGGGTTAAGATGCACACCATCAGCTCTTTGTGTCTGCAGCCACCGTGTGGTGTCTGCTAGGACTTTGGTAAGAGCCATCTGCCTCTGTGGTCTTTCTTTGAAGACTTGGTGTTGCAATGAGCATCCTGGCTGAGATTTTCAAAGCAATTTAGGGACCTTAGTTAATCTGCTCCTTTCTCTTGAATTCTCAGTGCTTCCTTAGGCCAAGGAAGGAATTGGCCATTATCTTCTATTATGCATTTAAGGTTAAAAAAGATAATTCCTTGAGCTTAACGCCATGGAGATGCACTTGGAGAATCAGAGGGACCTCACTCTCTCTGTATAGAAAGTGTTGACCTCTGTATTTTTTAGGACTCTATATTGGTCTTGCATAATATTTGTAGATAAGAAATTCACATTAGCATAGTGACATTACTGATAGAAGGGAAATGTTTATTTATCAGCCTGGACCTGAAAAAAGACTTAGAAGAAAAAGAAACCAAACAAAACCAACCAAAAAGCCTGTCCAGCTGTTGGAGGAGCTGTGGACTTGCTTCAGCAGGTGGCAGCCTTTCCCTGGAGTTGGTCCCAGCATGAGAAGAAAAAAAAAAAAAAAAGAAAAAAAATTGCCATGAGCATGGG